CTCTCTCTCTCTCTCTCTCTCTCAGACACACACACACACACTTGTGGACATGCTGATCTCATTCGGAATCAGCGTCGCAGCCCTCATCCTCAGATGGCTGTTCGCTGCAGTCAGCTGATTCCGGGTCATCCTCCACTACCGTCTTGCGCTTGAGGCGCTGTTTCTTTTTTTTAACCGGTGTAGTGGCCGTGTCGGTCTTCCGCTTTCGCGGTCTGCCACGAGGACGTTTTGGCTGTGCAGGAGCGTCCTGTGATGGCTCCTTTCTCTTCCTGCCCACTCGGCTCACCCACAGGTTGTCATGCTGGACATCCTCCCTCATTGCGGGGAATTCCGGTATCTTCTCCTCGGACTCCGGAAATCCGCTGGCCGGGGCCTGCGTGTGTAGACCGCTGTCGCTGTGGGATGGGGCTCGTCTTCGCGGGCCGTATCGACCTCGCCGTGCTGCATCTTCTGCTGCGCCAATCCTTCCCCCTCCTCTTCCTGCTGCATTTCCTCTTCCTCCCCGCCTTGCAAAGTGCCTTCCTCTTCTTCTTGGTGCTCCATCTCCTCTCCCTCCTGTGGTTGCACCATGCCCTCTGCCTCTTCTTCCTGTTCCATGTAATCTCCCACCTCAGCCTGGTGCTCCTCCTCCTCCTCTTCTCCTTCTTCCTCAACCTCCAATGCCTGATTGATCTGCTGTTGGTGCTCCCTGGCTTGTTTGAGACCTCTCTCGATCTCTCTCCGAGTCGGGATAGCTGCACGACGGGCCTCCTCCTCCATCATACGTTTGTTGACGAGTTCAGTCTCCCAGTCAGCCATAGCCTTGGCACGGTTCGCATCCTCCTCATCTTCGTCCACCCTCGTTTCCAGCAACATCTCGACATCCGTGTCTAGCCGTGCGAACTCGACATCAGATTGCGGATTGTACAGTGCAGTTTCCCTTACCCCAGGCTCCATCGCTGTCGGGCGTGGCTCTTCTCTGTGTTTTCGTCCGGTCCGCCTCCTTTCGACGTACGTCGTGCCTGGGACGGACGGCTCCGGTCGTAACTCGAAATCGGAGTCATCGTCGTCATCCTCTTCGCTGCCACTTGAGTCCTCCGACAATCCGCACTTCCCCTTCCACAGCTTGTCATCCAAATCACTGTCATCCGTGAGCTCTTCGTCCTTGTCCTCGAGATTTTTTGGAACCCTTCCCTTCGAAGTCTTTGTGAGCCTTCGTTCCCGTACAAGCTCCTCCTCTGTCTTCTCAGCCTCATCCTCGGGCCCCTTCGACACCGATCCATCGTTCTCTTCAGGCTCCGGGGCGGGCTCGACGAAGTCACACCACAAGTCCATAAATCCGTTGTTCTTAGTCTCTGGAACACGCAGTAGCTGCATGTTCCAGTGTATGTACACTAGCTTCGCCACGCTTTCTGGCAACAACTTGTTCCTCCGTTTGGAATGGATGAAGTCCATGGAAGCCCAGTTCCTCTCTGCCGGCGATGCGGTGCTCCACATGCCCATAACCTTGATCGCGATCTTCTGCAATTCGGGCACGTCGCCGCCGTGTGCTGCCCACCATTCTGACGGTGTCTTCTTGTCAACATCTGCCTTCGCTGTGGGGTCCCACATCTTCGTGTCATTCCTTTTCGGGCCGTTCCTTGTAGGTTTGTTGTAGAACTCATTGAGGTCACTCCAAATGTCAAGGTGCGCTTGCCCTTTCCATTCACCTCCAACCTGCCTCGAGAGAAAGCGCATGGCATTCTGCACAAGCACACTGTCTTGGTCATGCAACCACCTTGGTTCTCTCCTGCGCGGGTCCAAAAGAAAGGCTGCTGCGTGGACGGGCTGCCGCATCATCTTCATGCGATCTTTGACTTTCTCCACACGCTCGCCCGCTGCTCCACCGTAAGAACGAAATGGCTAAGTTTCCTCTCTATCATGTCGTCATACTCGACAAGGTTTGTGGGACCGGTACCGTCCTGATCCATCCGCCTCAAGAGGCCGAACACGGGCTCCATCACCTCAACCACCTTGTTCAACCCCGTCCACCACTCATCACTCCTCAATGTGAAGTACACCAGATCCAATCTGGCCCTCAACTTCGACGTGGACCATCGGATCACATTCCACTTTACTGCATTCCGACCGTGGACCATGTCCTTCAATACTGCCCTCCTGTCGTATATCCTCTCCAACATTTGGTAGACCGACCCGAAGCGCACCTCCGTGGGCCGAAGAAGAGAGCAAATCGTCCATTGTCATCATCAGACTGTTTGTGCTGTGGTGATTTCTGATGAACTTGACGATTTTGTGGCCCCTCTTAACGGTGTGCTTCACCCAATCGAGTTTGCTGAGGTCGCGCAAGAGAAGGCTGCAGCAATGCGCAGCGCAAGGAACCCACGGAATCCTTGCTACCTCCTTGTCCGTTCGTCACTCCAGGATCTGAGCCGCCCTTTTGTTGACCTCCGCGTTGTCAGTGCAAATCGCATTGAGTCGACGCAGTCCGATTTCCCTCATGATCTGCTCCCAAAGTTTCGCCAATGCAGGTCCAGTCTTCTTCCTCCCGGACATTGACACCGTCGCCACCAAAACCGCCCCATCCACCCCAGCTGCCAAGAAGTTCATCACGGGCTGCTCCCGACGATCACTCGATATGTCTGTGATGAAAGTACACTCGCTCACATCCCAACAAGTTGTCAATGGCTCCACCGTCTTCTGCACTCGCATGTACACAATGTCCAACATGACGGTCCTCATGTGGTTGAAGGAGGGCAGTTTCACCTGCGGTCTTGACTTTGCCACCTGCAGGTACACTTCGTGGAGTTTCTGGGTGGTTTCGAAGTTCAAGAAGTTGAACGGGATCCCAGCACAAAACATGGCCTCCGCCCATGCAGTGTCCAGTTTCTTTTGCGCATCGTTGTTAACTACTGCAATGAGGACAGCCGTGTGTTCGACCCCGACGCCTCACCCCCCGCCGCCTCCAAAGCATTCTCCTTGTGCAAATCCCCTGCATCACATGGAGGAGCAGCCCTGCCCGCAGTGGGCGGTGGCTGTGGCTCAAGGTATGCGGGAACTTCAACCACCTCGTCGGCCTTCTCCGTCTGATCGACCCCCCCTTTCGGAATCCCGTGCAGCTGCCTGTAATTCTTCAGCAAGTACCGTATTCTTATCACCCGACAACACTTTCCCCCCGGAGTTGACGAGCTCATTCACCATTTCCCCTGTGCGCGATGGACACGGCTTCTGCGTCTTCAGGTAATGTTCCACCGCTCTTGAGCTCGTGCCCCTCCAAATCTGCACGCACAACCGACACCTCACCCAATACTCGCCTCTCCCTTTCTCCCCGGCTTCCTGCCCTGTTCTACGTACTTCCACACAGGCTTCTCCCTCTGCAACTTGTCGTGCCTCGCCTTGTCTTGTGGAACGAACAGCGAAGGGTCCATTGCCGACGTGGGGTCTTTGGAGGTCACTGTGGATGTGGGTGTAGCGGAGGTGCTTGCAGCGTTTTCTTTTCCTTTTTCTGCTGCCGTTTTGCGCCTCCTCCGTC